GGCGACAAAGTGAAAGAGGCCAGGCCACCTGTTAGAGCTACCTGCCCGGGGCTGTGCTCTTCCTCCCAGCTGTGACCATGGGGCTGGCAGGCTGGCACTGCCTCCTGCCTGCTCAACCTCCCAGCACCGACTAGCAGCCGGGCTGGCAAGGCAGGGAGGTTGGAGGGAGAGGCTCAGGCTGGCCTTTCCCCAGGGGGCCTGGGTGCTGGGCAGTCGGGCATTCCCAGGTGGCCCCGGCACGGGCCACACTCACCTTGCCAAAACTGTCGGCGTACTCCCGGTACTCGGAGGTCATCTCCTGCATGGGCAGACAGAGTGCTGAGGGGAGCGCCAGCAGGGTGGGGCAGGCCGACACGAGGGTGGGAGAGGGACGGCCACCCTTCTCGTGAGGTCCTGCTGCTTTGGACTCACCTGGCCACTGTGATGGGCTTTGGTTGCCAGCAGCATGCGGCCCACGAGGTCTGTGGTAGACACCCCCTGGGTGCGCTTGCACTCTCTGGAGACAGAGCAGGGCTGGGACCCTCCTCCCAGACGTGGTGGCGAGGCTCTACCTCCAGCAATTGCCACCTACCTATGTACCCACCGCAGCCTGCTGGGGGCCAAGCCGGGGCTGCCCCGTAGGCCTGGAAGCTCACGCCTGCCATCAGCCACAATAGAAAACCCAAGGGGCTGCAGACTCTCTGAGTCCAGGGAGCAAAGGTAAAGCCTCACCAAAGTCTGCCTGCAGTGCTGGGCAGTGGGCAGGCCAGTCTTGGGGTCCCCACTGTGCCTGCTGCCCAGGCTCCTCCTGCCCAGACCCTTCCGGGCACACTGGACTGTGGCCGCAGCTGTGTCCCAGCGCTCACCAGCAGGGCTATCTTTGTCTGCCTCTGGTGCTGCCCTGACCCCGGGGCCACGGGCCCACCACATGGGCAGGCCAGCAGGAGAGACACAGGCCCCATCTTCCCCTGGCAAGTGGCCCCAGTGGGGACTGACCTGTACCTCCCGGCCTGCTTCACTTCCTCATAGGTGTCCCGGCCATCCACCGTCAGTGTGATGTCATCTAAAAGACCATCCAGCATGAGGACGCAGTTCAAACCAGAGACCTTCAGGGCCCAGGGTTCAGGACCTTCTCGGTCCCCAGCCAGCCCTCATATGCCTAGGGACACTTCTGGGGAGGGACTGAGCACTTTCTCAGACCTTCAAAGGGGCTCAGTGTGCCCTAAAGGGTGGTGAGGCCCCAGCCCCTCCAGAGGCCCCGAGGCCGGCCCCCCACTCACTGCCGTGCACGCAGAAGTCGCAGCCGTACTTGTCCAGGGTCTCCAGCGTGGTGACATAGGGGGCAGCAGGCACCACCTCGTCCACCCACTTGATGGCCTGCACCATCTTGTACCGCTCCTCCTGGGTGAACACCGGGGGCCCCTTGTGCTTGGCGATCTCCTCTAGGCAGAGAAGGACATGAAAGGCAGTGGCTCCACTTCCTGGCCTTCACCCAGCCGACTGTTCCTGGCACTGGCAGGGCCTGTAAGCTGAGGTTGGGGCATGTGGAGGCAGCTGTCCCCTTCATTAAGCGTCCGCCCTCGAGGGCAGGAGCACACCTAAGAGGCCACTGCTCATGGTGGTCCCCACTCAGTGCTTGAGACTGTGAGTTCGATAACTAGACGGTACCAGGTGAGTCCCCAGCAAAGCCGAGTCCCCAGGACGACTGACCAGGTCCCAAGCCCCAAAGGACACAGGAGCCAGGCCAGGTAGTGCAGCCTGGCTCCACCAACCGCACAGCCCTGAGCCCCACTGGCCCGGTTTCCAGCTCTGGGTAGAGACTTGCACCCAGGGCTGGGGGTACAGCCGGTGCTTACCATCCGTGTGCACGCCCACGATGAGGTAGTCGCCCATGGCCCGTGCCTGGCGCAGCTGGTTCGAATGGCCATAATGCACCATGTCGTAGCTGTGGAGATGGTGGAGTGCTCAGCCCCAGGGTCGTGGGGTGGCCCTGCACCCTGAGAATGCCACAGGAGATCCTCAGAAGTGCCCTGGGCCTGGGCATCCCTAGAGGTGGTGGCATCCAGCTGTTGACGCTGCTGCTGGGCCCAGGCACGATGAGGGCAGGAGCACTGAAGACTGATCTGCCGGAAGCCTTGGGTCCTGTCCACATCAGCTGTGCTGTGCCCTCACCTGCACACCCTACCGGGGGCTTAACCTGCCATCACTTCCAGGAGAAGGGCTGGGTCCTACACTAACCCAGGATGAGTGGGCAGTCCCTTGGGCCAATGTAAAACAAAAAAACCACCCAAGACAAAGGCCTGGGAGGAGACTTGAGGACCCTGCTCCTGCCACCACAGCCTCCAGAAGCTGCTAGCTCAGGTCTCTGGGTGAAGAGCCACTGCCCGGGTCCATGGTTCTAGAGCTTTGGCCCCGGACTCGCTGTCTGCTGCTGCCTGCTCGCTGTGGCCAGCTGGAGGCTCTGTGGTGCCTGCAGCAGGCAGGCAGGCGGGGCCAGGGCTCCAGGCCCTAGGGGTTGCTTTTGCTCCCCCTCCTTCCCCATCCCTCTGGCGGACCTGTTCACCCTGTCCCTGCCTCTCCAGGCAGTGGTGTGACCCAGATGACCCTGGGCAGCCTGGGGCGGGTACAACGCCGTCCTACGGAATGCACTTCTCTCCCGGCCCGGCCAGCCACACCAGGAAGCCCAGGACCCTAGCACACAAACCGGGTGGGGGTCACAGGGTTTCAGGTCTGGCAGGTGCTGGCCAGGCTGGGAGTCAGGCTGGGCAGGGGGAGCACAGCGGGGAATGGGGAGTGGCCCTGAGTCCAGTTACTATGGCCTCTGGCTCACTGGGGGCGGACAGCCAGGGCCAAGGTCGGAGTCCACTGATGAAGCCCCGGTGACTTGCGTGCAAGACAAGTCCACAGCCCGCCCGCCCTGCCCTGGGCTGCCGGGGCAGGGGAAAGCAACGACGAGCAAGCTGGCCCAAAGGAGGCCCTGCTCTGACAGCCCCGGCTGCCCCGGAAGGACGCCCTCCGGCGGACCTGCCTGCTGCGGGAGGTCCCAGGGCCCGCAAGCCTGCCGGGGGCCCTGGCGGCCAGGGAACTCCCTCGCTCGGACGCCGGGGGAGGGGGCGTCCGGCCTAGGCGCTCCCGCCAGGCTCGACCCAGGTCCCGCGGGGGCAACGGCCAGCTCGTGACCCCCGGAAGGAAAGAGCCGTCGGCGTCTCCGGGCGCAGCGCCCGCCCGCCCGCCCGCGCTCACCAGCCGTCACACCACACCCGCACGGCGCGCCTGTCCCCTGGGCCCCGCCCCCCCGCCCCCC